GCAGCCTTCGAGAAATAGGTGTTTTTTCTGTGGCTTTATATAACATTTTGTCTTTGCTGTGGTCTATTTGCTGTGGTTTATCTGGAGTGCATTAATGTTCTGCGCTGAGACTGGCTGACTGCTCTGACACAAGGCGGACGGAGAGGGGTGTTTGTGCGTGCCATCCGACATTTCACTACGTGGACAATACAGATTAACGTTTTCATTCTTTCCCTTATTGTTTCTGTTTTGCTCTGTGTATAGTGAACGGCATTACATTATTACCTCATGGAATGCCTGCAGGTCATGGTTAGGAATAATATATTCCAGAGTACAAGAGGCTGAGAAAAAAATGACGATTTCTTTCTCAAACTTTAGAGGCAGCACCTTAGAAGGCAAAGAATTGAAAGTGTTTAAACTAAAACTCTAACAATCTAGTATATATATATGTGCATTTATTTGATCAGAAATACAGTATGGTACAGTAATAACAGTAATATTGTGAAATGTTATTATTTAAAATAACATTTATTTTTCTGATGGCAACTCTGAATTTTCAGCAGCCATTACTCTAGACTTCAGTGTGAGTCTTTCAGAAATCATTCTAATATGCTGATTTGCTGCTTAAGAATAGAGAATAATTTCTTATGATTATCAATGTTGAAAATTATAATTAATATTTGTATTGAAATTTGTATGCACTGGTGTTCATTGGCCAGAAACACACAGTTAAATAAAGATGAATTTGAATTACAGCATTGTTTACTTTTATTTTTTTTTTATTTCTTTAGATCATGATATATTGTTTTTGTGAATTCTTTTGGCTGTGATAATCGTGTAGTAAAAAATCTGATATCGTGACAGCCCTAGTTCAATTCCATCTTTAGGTTAAAGTGTAACAGGCAGGTATCCTCCTGCATACTGGCAGCACTGACTGTAGCCAGAGGCTTATTTACAACTGAGCCTGCACTCGCTCTGAATCACTTCAGCCTGACAAGAGGCAAACACACAAGCTCAAGTTCATGCCTGCCTTAAAGAGATATAGATGCATATACTGTAAGCGCTTGCAGCGAAGCTACTTCAAGGTTTCTATTTGAGCTATGCGTGTTATTTAATATCACATACACAAGTTTATTAATTAAATGTCCCGATCAGGTTGCGTTGTGGCACACTGAATGTGGGTGTACGTTTCCAGAAAAACTGTAAAAATAAATAATATGCTGGCTGGCTGCTGTTATCCTGTCATCTTAATAACTCTATGTTTGAGTGTGGTCGAACACAACAGGCATCAAAATTGTTCAGTGCTCCTACCTCTGACGTAGATTACCCAGACCTGCCAGCCAGCTGTATTCTCAAAATATACTGTAATGTATGGTCACACATTGGAACCATGAATTAAGTGGGCAGTGGAAACAAAACAAGTTGTCCTTGTTACGGTGCTAAGCTCTGAGTCAGCCACAGATTATGGAGCTACTTGATAAATGTGCTTTATAGTCAAGCTCTCTTTTTGCCACTTTCCTACTGTATCTGTGTCCCATAGAGGCAGAGATCCTGTTATCTAGCGTAAAATTATCCTGGAATGACATGTAGCTAGTTTTAAACACATCAAAATGTGCATCCCCCATTTAAAATGGTGGACAGATTCAGATCAGGAGTCTTTCTTGACTGTATGCAACTTTCTTCAGTGTATACAAATTAAAATAATTTTGTTACTCAGAGTATTATAAAATGTTACAAAAATGTTTTAATATTGTTTATGTGTAAAAATAAGTTTTTCAATAACTTCAAACCAACATTTGGTCACAAACAAGCTTGACTTTTTTGAGTAATCGCTTAATTTATGCAAAATCTGCAACCATCCCATACGGCAAAAACATACATTTTCAAACACATTTTTAAAAATGTATTTTAAAATATACAAAATTGGGCAATCAAAATGTTTTTTGCCTAAATAAATATCAAAACATATTTTATACCAATATTTTTTTTTACGGTATATATTTTTAAAATATCAATAGTTTTATTATCTGTTGTCTATAACATGTGTGAACATATAACATATTCTAGTAAGCTATTCCAATCCGCATTTGCATTTACCCTAATTGTAGGCTACTGTAAGATTGGAAATGTGTTTTCTTGCCCCTGAAATGTATTTTTTGTAACATATAGTGGTATATGATAGTCGAAAATAAATATATTTTCAATTTCAAAAATATATTTCACTGAGCGTCTGAAGATTAAGCACAACTGACCATTTAAGAGTTTAAGAGTTTCAGGCCCAATGTTGTGCCCTTTTCCTGGAAAGTGCCTTTTGTTTTTCATTTCCATTCCTGTGGATGGTTGACACTTCAATAAACATCATCCTCAAACCGAAAATTGAACTCAGTGAACTGTGTCACACACTGAACTTGCCGAGTTGACAGGATTCTGAGCCAACTTTGAGTTCTCATATAAAAGAACTCTTCACCTTTCAGACAACAGTCTAGAGCTCCTCAAGGGTAATTTTCAAAACAGCACCCTGCTTCTCTTTCATTTGGAAATGACAGGTCGAGCATTGTTCTTTAGAGATTATTACTCAGACTGTTTTACCCAGTAAATGCAGAAAGTTGTATTTTCTGCATCTGTCATCTATGCTCCAACTCCATTTACAATTAAAGCAACATGAATTAAACTATGAAAGGGAATGTCATAGTCTTCTCTTTCCCCCAGATTCCTCTACATCTTAATCATGAACTCTATAGTTTTTGCTAATAAAGTTTTTCACACACACACACACACACACACACACACACACACACACACACACACACACAAAAACTAAATAACACTTTT